AATTACGTCATGCCGGACGGGTTGTAAATGATAATGAAAAAAAAAAACTAAACCAGCCAACGCCAATTTATTAATTACGCGCTTTATATACAGACACACACACACATGTTACAATAAAAAATTAGTAGATTTAATAGATCAATGTGAGTAATGCGTGTCAAGCAGCAGCATTAACTGACGAAAAAACAACATTGACGCATATTTTATTTCTATCATTGATAACTTATGAATTTTCTAGTTGAAATTAGGAATAAATATATTTAAGCCTACAGTAAATCTAACATCAAAGGATGATTATAATCATGATTACTCAAGACAAAGGAACTGTTATGATCTTTTACTTAACTCTAGTTTGTAATTTGTTTTTGTAAAATATCACCGATAAATAATTGAAAAAGGTTCACTGGTAAGGAGCAATTCCATGTACTTTTATCATTATGGTCATTAGTTATTTAATAAAAATTCTGTTTGGAAGGCCTAGATAAATTTCACAACACTTAGTTCAAACATATAAATTAAAAACAAAAATCCAGGACAATAGCTATAACAAACTTGTGATTGTAAAAGGGTTTATATATATATATATATATATACAGTACTGTGCAAAAGTGTTAGGACAAGAAAATATTTTGTCATTCTTTCCATTTTATGGGACTAATTCTTCCATGTGATTATTGAATAAACATTTCAATACTATGGCAATGCTTCACTGATTCCTTTTGACAATTGAATGAGCCAGGATGAGAATACTTATAATTCTTTAGAATTCCCATATACTTGTACCAAGGGCACGTCATAAGAGTTCTGTTTGAATGAATATACTAATCAAATTTAGGATCTGAAATAACTGTCATGGTGCTCCATGCAATGTCTTAACTATATAGAAAGAAACTAGCAAGTAACTAGCATATGGTACTGTTATATGCTACAATAAATCAATTTAATTGCACTCCACAAATAAACCTTGATTAACGGAAGATACTTAGCATCAGTATCATTGAGTTTAGGTGTTCTACTTCTTCCTTTACTATTTTCAAATTTACCTGTCTCGGTCCCACGATCTAGGGTGTACTTGACAGTGTTTGGGGGAGCATTTCAAGACTGCATCAACTTGTCGAAGAGTCCAACCAGCATCACGTAAAGCTTTTATTCGAACTTTCTGATCTACTGGCAATTCTCTACGCTTTTTTGGGCAGTGGCATGACAACAAAACTTAATATATAGTGTTAAACATTGCGTTATGCAGCCTTCAGGACTGAAGGTTTGTCTGTCTGTTTTGAATTTCGCGCAAAGCTACACGAGGGCTATTTGCGCTAGCCGTCCCTAATTTAGCAGTGTAAGACTAGAGGGAAAGCAGCTAATCATCACCACCCACCGCCAACTCTTGGGCTACTCTCTTACCAACGAATAGTGGGATTGACCGTCACATTATAACGCCCCCACGGCTGAAAGAGCGAGCATGTTTGGTGGGACGGGGATTCGAACCCGCGACCCCCAGATTACGAGTCGAGCGCCCTAACCACCTGGCCATGCCGGGCCAAGGACTGAAGGAGGACTGCCACTGATCTCAAGCATGAGATAAACGACCATGTACCAAATGACAGAAAACTGTCCAGATTTACAGTATCCAGAATACTCAACGATAATGGAATAGTTGGTCGTGTTTTAGTTAAAAAAACTTTTACTTCGATCTCCAAATATTGTCAAGAGACTGGAATTTGCTAAAAAAGTACAAAATCTGGACTGTTGATACTTAGAAAAGGGTGTTATGGACGGATAACTCCAAGTTTGAAATATATGGTACAAAGTGTAGGTTGTACGTCCGGCGGAAGAAAGGTAAAATATACTTACCTCAATGCATAGCACCTACCATGAAGCATGAGGGAGGCAGTGTGATGGTTTGGGGTGTTTTTCTGCTGACGCGACAGGAGATATTTGCAC